AAAAAATAGTAAAGAACTAATCATATATATACTCTCTTTGATGATTACTTGGACCAACTAGTACTAAAAGCAAGTTGAGGACTCAAGGCCAGAAGTTAATAACAACTTGAAGTTTTCTTGATACAAACTGTTATTGACAAAGTCTTTAAATATAATACACCAAGAAGCAGGTATTTTGAACAATTTGCAAAGAAGTCAAGCCTCATTCTTTTGCTTTCTCAGTAGACTTCTTTTTGTATTTGGTATCCAAACTGGAGAAGTCTCTGAAAACAGTAAGTTGAAAAGAAAACTCAGAAAGTTTGGAGATAAAAAGACATGACAAACTTTTAGAAAAACTCTCTTTAGTTGGAAACTCACAAAACCAAAACCTTTCTCATCGCTTTGATGTTTCCAAAACTAATTTTTGACAAAAAGTAAGAGATTTGGCTATCTTGTCAAAAGATTAGTATTGTTTATTACTTCTATATTTAGTAATTCTGTAATATAAATACAACAAATACATGCCTACATAGGAAAATATTTATTTTTTATTTGGGAATGTGGCTCTGATTGTCAAAGATTCAAAAGATTTTAAAAACTTACATACCAAGTAGATAAGGCTTGAAATTAGGAGAACATGGAGAGTTAATATTATTTGTTATACTTTGAAATAGAATATAGATTTAAAGTTGGGGCGATAAAGAAAAATTGAGATATGCAGTTTAATGACAAAGTTATATACATATAATTTTTAGCTCTTGGCACAGATTAAAGTGCATTTAGTTTAGTTTTTTTAATGTCAGCTAAGTTCTATATAATTACTACGATCATATAGATAAGTATTTTAGTTAGAGACATGACAAAAATCAGGTGATTTTTTAGGGTGAGAGGGGTAAAAAATTTAAAATTATATATAAAGACCTGATCAAGATATATAGTAAGAGGGGGAAGAGGGAGTAAGCTTCTGATAAAAAAAAATCAGGTAATAAATGATACTACCTTTAGCAGATACCAATTTGTTAGCTAGTTTCTTAAGTTTTGTATTGTATTGTTTTTTCTTCCCCTTTTTTAGTATATTTGCTTTCTTATATGTTTCTTTTTCAAAATATCCTCTTTCTCATATTCCTCTTACTCTATTTTGCTTTCTAAATTTTGTTTGTTGACAGAAATTTTCCTTCAGATTAGTGATATATTATATAGGGTAGTGATTCTAACAAAATCAGTAAGCATCTACTGTAGACTCTTAGGATATAAATTCTCAAGTTGGGAATCCCAGACAAGGTAAAGACAAGCTATTTAGATGGGTTACACCTAGGTCTTTCTTGTAAAATCTATTTATAGGTTCTTGTTTAATAGATTGAGTGATTCTTTATTAGTAAATTTGAGTCAAATTTATTAAACTGAATTATAAAGTTGGTTGTATTTCAATTACAATTAAAGATTCATTAGCTGCAAATATTGTATCTAATAAATTAATACTTTTCTTTAAAAATGGCATTTTGTCTATTATTTCTAGATCAAGGTTTTCTTTCTGTTCATTGTCACTTTTTTTGCTCTATATTATACAATAAATTTATTTTTAAAAATTCGCAATTGCAAGAATTTATTTCATAGAATTATATAATTATATAATTATAAACTATATTAATTACAAATTTTATAATGTAATTTGTTGATTAATTAATTTAAATTTTATACAGAATTACACTATAATTAACTCATGAATAATACGTGAGTTAAAATTTTTATAATTCGAATTGTAAAAACTTCGAATTATTTGAATCTATACATGGATATCTAAATTACTCAACATTTAGTCAAAATAAATTTCTCTTAGTGAAAAAATTAATTTTTATCATTGTCAAAATTTTTAATAAAATTATTTGAATTTTTTATACCAAAATACATTAGATAGTAAGTATAGTTACTTTGTAAAATTCATATAAAAATTAGTAATATCAAAATGTTTGTCAAATTACTTTTTTAAAAAATAATTTAGATATCTGTATATTCAAATCCCATATTAATCGAGTCTAGTCATTATTAGATATTATGAAATTAACAAAACTAATAATCTCATTATCACTAGTAATCATAGCTTTAACAGATATTTTAATTGTATTAAAAAAAGCAAAATATACAACTTAGAATTTTTTTTAATTATTATAAAAACAATAGTACTTAGTCTTTGAAAGAAGCTTTACAAGAATAAAATTTAAATAGCTATCATGTTGTATATCAAAATCTAATAATATATAATTTTTAACTTATAGTTTCTTCTAAACTTAAATCACATTCCGTATTAGCTTGCTTAATAATATATTTCTTAAATAGAGTTCATTATAAGGTATATAATAAATAGTAAATTAAAACCAACTCAACTATTCAATCCACATAATGCCAAGAACAACAGGATCAGTTGCCAAATTAATCAAACATATAACTTGTTCTTTAATACTACCACATTTTTGTGATACATGAGCTCTAATATTATATTCCTGAACTTCTTTAGCAATTTTTTGAATATTCTCAAAAAACACTTTCTTTGAATGACCAAATACTAACTCTTTACAAACAAGATCTATTGAATAGTTTACATGA